TAAGGCCCCAAAGCACTACATGCCACAGTGATTTCAACTGCCTACCTTCACAAATGTTTCTTCAGTTACACACAGGGGAACATTATAATAATGCAGAACACAAGAGGGTGGTTGGATGATGTTCTTAGATGCTTGGCCAGCACTGGTGAACCGATTATTCTTACTCATCGCAAAATCCTTATAGCTACTTGTGCCATCCTCCAGCTCAAATATCTGGCTTGGAACTACTGAATGCTGCTTAGAAACACTGGGATTTAAGGATATGTCATGAAAGTTTTTTAAACAATCAAAACTTGCAAACTTTGCACACAGATTATTCATGTAAGTAAATAAAAGCTGACATTTCTTTAGAACAATTTCAAAGAGGAACAAGACAAGTTAGATTTGACACCTTCCTAAAAAGACTGTAGAAAGGGTGGATAAAACATCTTAGTGAACACAGCTTTCTAACAGCCTAGGTTATAGGATATAGGTATTATAATTTTGAACTGATATTGACAGCTGTCACATTCACAAAAATATTTTGGTGAAAAATAATAGTTGTAAACTGGAAATCATAAATCTAACACTGATGAAAAGACTGGACAGCCTGTCTTTGCAACTTCATTACATTTCCCTACTAGCTGACCATTAATCATATAGAACATATTTACCACACGTTAAGTCTCTTTCCGAATAACTTGACATTGTTGAGATGTGTGACAGCTCTTTCTACAGCATATTCATCACCCATTTCAACCAGTGCTGTGCCTGGAATAGTCTTCATAAATTTCACCTAAGATAAGATAGATGAAGAAAAAAATGACACTGCAACAAGCAGCACAAAATAAGAATTTCAAACGTTGTCAGGAGTGCCCATCCCAACTAGACTTTAGTTCATTTTTGTTTGCTTGTTTTGAAAAACAACAACAACAAAATACCCAACTGCAGTAGATTCAGAGTTTCTCACAGATGATGCCTTACCTTCTCAATGTTTCCATACAAGCAGAAAAGGTTGAAGACCCGTGAACAGTTCATCTTTAGCTGATGCAACCCACTAACCATGACAACTGATCCAGAAGGATTTCCACCATGCATGTATGAGGATGATGCCTGGGGCAATGGATAAGCAACAAGTTCGGGAGTGTCCCGAGATCCCATTCGGTAACGACTTGGTAATGGCAACAAAGGACCATGCGAACCTACGGAAATGAAAGATTGTATTCATTAAAATGGGGGGAAAAAGGACTACAGGAGTTTTAAAACATACCTAATTACCTTCAGCAATATTGTCATTTCTACTGATCATGCGTTGTGGCAAAAAATAATAAAAATTCTTTATTTTCTAAAAAAATTACTACAAGGTAAGGAAAGTAAAAAAGGAGTGAATTTTTAGCCAGTGGTCAGGAGAGAAGGAGGATGATACAGCTATTTTTCCAGAGATATGACAAAGTCAGGAAACTGGCTTTCTACAGGCAACTTTTGGAAGAAACAGGAATGCTTAAAGCACAGCATTAATGCGAAACAAAGCTGTCCTATTTTCCACTACAGGTGAAGTGACAGGTTTCACTGAAATACTTTCTTTTCTCTGTCCTTGATCACATTCCTCTCCAAACCCCATCTCTTTTTTTTTTTTTTTTTTTTAAATAAATGAAGAGATGTTAGTGATAGGCATTAATTTTTGTTTACAGAAAACATCAGTATTACTGAGGATAGGATCCCTGATCCTCTGAGAAAACGAATACTGTGAAATTCGCAGAGTATAAAACGTGCTTTTTGCTTTATTTTCCCACAGTAAAACACAATAATGAGGGAAAGAGCAGTATGGCAGGCCTTCATCTACAGTTAGCCCTGGTAACAACAGCACCACTTTACAGCACTAATTCCAAAATATCGTTCTTAGCAAATCACGCTGCTGTACCTTTTCAGAATTAGCTAAATTAGAAGAAACACAAAGCCCACAATTCACAGCTTTGCAGGCAAAAACATCAAAGGGCTCTGGGTTGCATCAAACCATTGATCAAACTCTGCTGCCATTTTCTGTAAGAAAAGAGCTTCGCCAGTAATTACGTTATTCTCTGTTTACTGCTATGGTGACAGCAACTAAAAGAAAGCATTCTTCAAAGGAATACATTCGCAGAGCTGGATGCTCTCCATAAAAAGAAGAGTTATGGCGAAAAAAAAAAAGCACTACGCATTTCAATCCATCGCTATCACTTTTTGTACAGGGACTGACGGCATCACGTGCACAGATCAGTGAACTACTCACAGTTCAGAGGTCCAGTTATACATTGACTGAATATTTGGCATTCCACACAGCACATACAGAAATCAAAACCATCTGTCAACCTATTGGACTTACCATAACTATCATGTCTAAATGACGATGGGTGCTCTCCCAGAATAGCTTGTCTCTGGCGTCCCTTCCCTCTGTCTAACATATGGGAAGGGAAAAAATACAATTCAGTATGGACAAGTATGCACTTGATTTCTCCAGTTAAGACACAAAGCTTCTAGTTAAGAAGCAAAAATGCAATCTGAGTCCTTGTTAATTTTATCAACAATTTCTCATTGTTTATATATCTAAAACCGCAAGCTGTAGCCCTGGGATACCAAAATTTAAAGATTGTCATTTGTATAACAAATTCCACTTAAGTTGATTGGCCGTAATGGCCAATGAGGAGATGTAGACATTTAAAGTCTAAGGAAATACCCAACAACTTTCCTAAACAGACAACACACATTAGTATAGAAAACACCATACAGCAGGATTTACCTATGCATCTCTTAAAACAAATTTGAAATGCAGTACTTTTGAAAGACAGTACCTGAATCATAATATTAGCTTCAACAGCAACACATTTTCAAAGTGGGCTTCTTTCAAGAAGTTTCAGCATAAGCCAACAACAACCTGTATTACATGGTTTCATAATCAGTAAACAGAGAGCATTACATTTGTGTACATATAAACTTACAGAACACCTACTGATTTAAGGGCGTGCTGAAAGGATTGTACATAATTGCATTATCAGCAGCTCGTAACAGGTTGACTGAAGAGAAACATCACTGAATAATGCACTTAGCAAAAGCTCAATCCTTTAAGAAGGCCAAGTTCTCTGTGTTATAAAGTTAAGCAAAGGGTCTACATTACTGGAAGAAAGCAGTGCAGTACAGTCAAAACTGTATTTTCTAATCAGTTGCACCTTCCATGGCAAAGAAAAATCTAAACTTGCAGATTTCATTGCAGTAAGTAAAAATTGATGTCTCACATTTAGAAAAAATAATATGAGTTCTCACACTGCTACACTGAAAAGATGGGGCAAGATATTTTTCAGTTTAGTGTAGATCCAAAGAAAATTTAAATGTGACTGCTGAAAATGGCAATTCAGCCCTTTGCAGCCACAAGTTATTTCCCTGACAAAAGAGAACTACTCATGATAGACAGCACAACAGTGGGAAATGAAAACAGGTGCTGTTTCTGCTCAGGAATTTGAGAACAGGTTTCAAGTCAGGCATTTACTTCGGAAATAAAGACTAGAGACAGAAAAGTGCTGACTGCCTTCAACTGTATAGAACGATGATTATTTTTGCATGGTTTTCTTTTTCCTTTCCTTTTTCAGGTAACAGCTCTGAATTTCTTAGCTCTGGGAAGTAATTACACAAGCATGTAGAATATTTTGAACATTTAACCTATACGCAGGAATTATCTTTCAGAAAACTGAATTTTATCATTAAAGTCTTAAGGAGTCAAATCAATTGAAAGAGTGCACAAAAAGATAGTAGCTTTCAAGTAATTCCAGGATAGCATAGTTTGACAAATATTTCCTCCTGGTGAACAGTCCTTTACCCTCTCCTGTCCACAGCACTTGTTCCTTCCTTCAACTAACTTAATTGTGCCAGAAGAAATATTTTGTGCAAACAGGCAACGAAAATGAGAACTGATCTGGGCTAAAATTACTTCTGAACAAAAAGATTCTTTATAATCTAGAGGTGTTTGTTTTTGCTTTTTAAATCAGCTCGTTGAGTTGCTGAGTAACCCGGTATTACTGCCAAAAGAAATGTTCCAAACTAGTTTGAACTATCTGGCTAAGAGCCAGTAGAATGCTAAAACACAGGTAGGCGTTGGTTGAAGAAATGCTCAAGGGAAGTAAGTGATTTGTTGCCACGGACATAATAGTTCTTCAAAAAAAATAATTAGCTAAATGCATTTCTGTGTCCTAGGATCAGTGGGAGGAATTAAGTTCTGAAAGGCTTATTAGTAGCAGCGTCTGTCCTCAAAATGAAATTCCCCCAGGGCTAAAATCTTTGCTGGAGTCAGACCCCTACAGTTTCAGTCAGATTAAGTTCAAAAGCCAAACGCTGTTGTGGGAGCGCATAGAAGCACACACAGCAGAACTCTCTCAAAACAAGTCCTGGATTACTTCATGGACATAATCTAGCTGTTTACTTTCCTTTCAGTCTTTGTTCAAAAATTCATATTGTCATTTTCTAGACAAGTGGATGTGGACTGTGGTAAATGAAAACTCATGCTCCACAGTACAAATCCAATCATTTTCCTTTTAAGTGCAGTAGAGCGATGTCGAGATAGGCACTCAGAGTAACAAAAAAGGAAAAGCAAAAGAGTAAAGTATGAGTTTTTGAGAAAGAGCAAGTCGTATCTATCTTAATGTTTTCATTTTCCACTGTTTTTTGCTTGGGAAACAATTCATGCATATCTGCAGACCAATTAAGTAATGTAATTAGGGGCAGCATGTTACAAGTTGCTCTCCAATCACTGCAAAGATTGGAAGATCAGAGGGTCAAATTAATCCATCAGAATTTTCATATGCAGTCCTTTTACTTTCTTGCCCTCAAGTTTCTTGACTTCGAGAAGTTGCTTTTTTGAAGTCAGGAATTTGAGAAAAAAATTAAATCCTCATAAAAATAGTCATAAACTATAAGCTGCAACCAATACTGTAGCTCCCTTGTTAACTTTTTACAAGAACTTCATTCTGAAAATTCAAGCCCTATGTTTTTAGTTGTACAACAGTTTTACAAACCAGGTGTCTTGCAGAATTACTTTGAAAGTGCATGTCACTTGAGATGGCCAAAGCCCAGGCTCTCATATAGCCTTTGAAAAGTACTCAGACTTGGACATCTCTTCGCTTTTCTAACTTTACATTGCACGCATTATTGTACATAAGTTACTGAATACTGCACTCAATTATTACACATTATTATTGCTTTAAGTGAACAGTGTACAGGAGTCAGGCTACACAGTAGTTTGTCTTTACAAAAATAGTCATAATTTCCCACTGACAGGAGTCAAGCTTTGGAGACTGTTACAGCTGAATACTGAAGAGACAGTATGTCTGTATCAATTATGAATCTCCCTGTTTTAATACTTAAATATAACTGAGGGGATCTATCTGATATTGCACTACTCAGTTCCAACTATCTAAAGATCAGGATGAAATTTCTCTACTACTAGACAATATTTACATCGTTAAGACTGAATGCAACTCTCACATACAGCAAGTAATAAAAAGATTACAACGTCAATGATATCAACAAAAGAGGTTCTTAATTTTGGAGGGTCTCAATTTTTCAGTTTTAACTTTAAGGGAAATATGACCAGCATACATACAAACTTGAACAGAATGGGTACAGTCTATCGTGTTATTCATCCCATACAAATCTGAAGTACTGAAAGTGTCCTCCTTTTAAAAACTTGTGGTAGTGGTGCATGCAGTATGCAGACAAGGTGAATTGCAAGTCTGAGGTTTTTCAGAGGGTTTGGTGTTTTGTTTTGGTTTTGCTGATGCCGATGTGGTGCATGAAGAAGTGTAGAGTCAGCCTGCTGAAGTCCTCTATCCTTCTTAATGCCTCGTCCAACATAGGGGAAAAGAGTCCTTTCGAAGGAGAAGCAGTGTGCAAGTTTGTAGTTTGTAAGGAATAGTCTGTATCAGGTTTCCTCTCCTCCAAAGAGAGAGAGCTGCTTGGAGAAATGCAAGTCCTTGAGAACTGCGAAGGTGCTTGCAGGTGTGGGCTCCTTGTTGAACTAAGTGGCTCAAGCACACGGCAGTAGGGGGCACTAGGGCTCAGGGTTAATTTCCTGGGTTACAGGTTGGCTTGTGAACACAGCAGCAGCTCTGGCTTGCTTTGAAATGACTATTGAGATACGGCCTGACCACGTATAAAGGATTGTCATTAGTACAGTCATACATCTACAGCAATAACATAGGAAAACCTACCTCGTCGGCCCAGATACGGCTTAGTGTAGTCCCAACTATCGTTGTCGTTTCTAATGACATTAAGTCGAGTGGGCTGTTCAAATAAAGTAAAAGTGAAAAACGTTAAGCATGGTGTATACATGTTTTGCCACTAAAGGTAAGAGAAAAGGTCCGTGCATTACCCTTGCATATTCAATTTTTAGCGTACAGCATCCTGCATAGATATCTGCTCCATTGAGTGCTGCCTTCGCCTTCTGGGCACAAAAAACTGATTCAAACGTGCACATGTTAAGGATTTTTCCCAAGGTGTCTCATCCATGTCCCTTTCTTCTGAAATACCTTTATTTTTTTTAGACTGCAAGTAGCTCGCTATGTCTGAATCCTACCAGAACTCTGAACAGACTTCAAAGTAAAGTTACTAACAACTACTCATGGGTTTACCTGTGTTAAGCACCTACTTCTATTGTGCAAACAGCACATAATGTGAGCACTTATAAACAAATTCTTCTCTACAGATTCATTTTGACAGGAATATTCTGATGGATTTAGTAAATTTAAGCAGAGGATATAGAAGCTGTCAACAAACCTAGAGAATATTTGGATCAAAATCAAAATGGAAAGGTCAAGCTGCATCATTGGGAAAGAGATGGGAGCTAGTGGGTGGGAAGGCATGACTTAGAACAATGCATCCCTTCTAATAGCTAGCATGAGCTATACAAGTGCGGGTAGGGAGTCTCATTAACTCAGCAGTTACTCTTCAGTGAAAAGAACTAAGAAAGAGCACATCCTTTAGCTGAAGAAAGCCACAGAACCAAAAGGGATGCTTTGAATGAACCAATCTGCATCAAGAATACAGCAAGGAGATTGCTTTAAATCCATTGCTCAATGCAGATGCATGCACCAGGCTGCAACAAACAGGCTATTTCATATCCTCTACGTACCCCAAAGATTGGTTCTATTACTAGAAGAAAAAGCCATACAAGCCTTGGCTCATGGCAATGCATGATCTCATACAAAGTTGGTAACATACTGCATCAGACAGCTCGAACCCTGTAATAAACCAGGTATTTTGTGCCATCATTCGATATAGTTACATGAAACCTTGGAAGTATATGTTTATTATATTTAAAACAATATTGTGTTTTACCATATCCATGCAACCCAACTTCCTCCACTGTAATACTGGTTCACAGCAAAATTTTTTTAACTGACTTGAGACTGCCAAAGATTAGAGCAAGAAAAGTTAAGCTTCTCACACCTCTAGGAAGTTGTTAGAGGCTGGCTAGAACTGTAGGAGCACATCTTCAGGAGTGATGTGTAATGCAACTATGGGAAGTGCTCCAAAAGTAATGCCTCTGGTTTTGTTATGTTTGCCCACAACATCAGAGGTGGACGGTGGTATTGTGGCAGTAGATATTGAACCTTACAACCCATATTCCATTACATTTTGTTGCAGTGCAACAGATGGCAGCAGAGCAGCAATCAGAACAGCATCTGATGAGGAAGTGCATAAGGAGCAAAGGGACTCAAGTGAATTCCTCCATATGGAGAAAGTTGCACCACTGACATTCATCAGTGCTTCTGAATGTTTACAAAGACCAAACAGTGGATATGAACACAGAGCAACAGGTGGTGCACTTCAGCAGCAGCACCAGATGACAGTGGGTCACCTCCACTGGTGCAGATTTTTACAAGCATGGCATGCAAGCTCTTGTTCTTCGCTGGCAAAAACATACAGCTAATGGTGGTGACTAAGAACAGTGTTCCATAATTCAGAAATTGCTCTATCAAATAGTGTCGCTGTGCTCTTTATATCTGTTGTCATTTCCAGGGCAATAAATAGGAGGAATTACTTTAGGAGCAACCTACATAGCGGTGAAATTTGAGTAAATTTTGGAAACTTTCAGACAAGTCTTCTTCTGAAGCTTCTCCCAGCAACTGTTCACTTATACTGATGCAATACTTTGCTTACATTTATAAGCTTTCTTTTAATTGCTGGTTGTATGGTGGGTTTTTGTCTGCTTTTTAAATAAAAGCCATATTGTATAATTTAATTCAAAGGACAGAAACATGGCAGTTTCAGAGCACGTGCAGGGTCCTCCCCACAATTACCCTAATCTTTCATATGACACAGAATAATCCCTGACTATACAAACATATAATTTAAACAACGCTGTTTGCCACAACTTACTATGCTACCACAGGAACTGTGTGCATCTGTTAAGATGCACAGTTTAAGTCAGATAAACAGCAGTTAGCTTGCTTTAATGGACTGTGAGGCAACTCTTTTTGCCTGGCAAATCAGCAGCACAGCCACTAGTTAAATCATTGACATGTTACAGAAATAATCCACTCATAAAGCCTGTCACATGGATAGTATGCAAAAATCACAAGAGCACTTGAGATTTCAGAACAATTTTCTTTGAATACCATCTTCAGAAATGGAAGGTAATCACCTCTAGGAATAGGTCTATTCGAGTTTTATGAACTAAGGCTTAATCAAATCAGACTTTGGACTCCACACACAACAGTAACACATTAACAATACTCGTACAATGTACAACTTAATGCTACAAATACAATAAACAGAAGGATAACAGAGCAGGGTATTTCCTCCATGAGGCCTCAGTTGGTCTCACATTTTATTAAAGTCAGAACAAAAAGTCAAACAGTACATGAGAACTATTTTAGAAAAGTTTGAAGAAGTTAAACCGCACCTCTGCAACCCCTTACCAGTTTCTTGAGTGTCCATACAGCTAGAAATCACAACACATTTTTTTGCCCAGTGTATTGCCAAATTTGAGGCATATTTTATGCCAAGAATTATTAGCCTTAAGGTCACTTATAAACATGGTTATCAAGATCATTGTTGACAGCATCACTTCCCTCCAAAGATTACATGTATAAGTGATATTTTCCCTTAAAACATCTAAAATTTATATCCAAAAACACTGTAATTTCTGAGAGATTTTTGGCCTCAAAATTAAATGGTATTTTTCTGACATTCTGAAATCCGATCTGGAGTTGAAAACCTACAGAAAAAAAAAAAAAAAAAAAAAAATCACAGTCTAAAAAGGATATTCAACCATAGCTTGTATTCCATTCCTCTTGAATATAACAATGCGCTGAACTTTGCCAACAGGGTTGCACACAGTATACAAGACATCCTAAGAAAGAAGAAAAAACTGCTTTAACTGGAGCAAAAATTCAAACAACTTAGTTTTACATTATCTTCTATTAGCTTTTAAATGCTTGTTAACTTTTAAGTTACAATTTTCTCTATACAATTTCTACTTTTACATTTAGCATTTTGAAGGATAACGTAGCATAGGCAGTCAAATATTAACAACAGGAAAAAACTTATACAAGAATTACTCACACAAAGAAGTATCTGCAAAGAGTGTTAAAACTCAGTAACAGCATGCATGCTTCAAGACTGTGCTGCCTTTAATCATGCACTGTAGTAGCTTCACCAAAGCAAACAGACATGATGATGCTGTAGTTACAGTACAGTTCATTTCACAAAACCCTTATAGCTGAGGTTTCGATTTTGTTGGTGCTTTGTAATCATTCACAGTTATCTTCAGAAAAATAACCTAGAGAAGTCCACAATGCAAGCTTAGGTAGCTTATCAAAATGAGAAATTCAATTATGTGCACCTGAGTCAAAGACAGTGTAAGTAGATGCTGTGTTTCCCCACTTAAAGCACAGAAAAGTTAAAGAGGAAATCCTGGGCTCGCAGAAGCTTGCTGTCAGAGCAATGTTTTCACCAGCATTTCACTATTGCAAGGAACCAGTAAAATTCAAGACCAGTCTCACTGCAGCATGGGAATGAAATACCAAGGGAAATCTTGCCTTATTCTCAAAGTATCGTAATATTGGCTTGGTCTGATGCACAGCACCTCAAACAACTGCACATTACACAGAATTCAGACATAATGGTGCCAGAAACTAGGCTGAAGCTTGAATTTAACGAAGAAAAATGCATTTATTTGATATGGTGACTGTACATCCCCACTTAGAAATCCAAAGAACAGGTCTTGAGAATCTGAACAAACAGGAATCGTGATTCTTTAAACAATATACCTGTTAGACAACGTTCAAACAGTTGAGAGTAAACCTAAGGTTTACTAGACAGCCAGTTGGTAGTTAATGCTAGCACACAATGGCACAGACACCTCAGTGGAACACTATCACCATCTGTTTTTCTCCTTCCTTTCTGTATATCCAAACCAAATAATTCCAAAACAGTCATTCCAAGAATTTAGTGCACATCCTCGGGGTAAGTATTTATTATCTTCAGTAGAACAGTATAGAAGTTAAGAGGCAAAGCAAGAAGCTATGCTGGATTTCTTAAAACAAAGCACACAAATGAAAGAAGAAGAAAAAAAAAAACCAGAAAGGATGTCTTCTTTCTGGCACAGCTGCAGTGGTGCAACTCTTGGTGTATATCAAGCACCATAACCCTTAATACATGTGTGTACTACCACTAAAAAAAGAATTCAGTGCACTCAGGGGCTTACACCAGGCACTCCTGTGAGTGTTTTACACAGCTAAATGAAGCAAGCAGTGGAGATTGTCAACCCAAAGTTTTTCAGAAGATGAACACACATTTTTAGAAGAGATTAAAACAGCCTTAAAAAAAAATTTAGCAGACTACACCATAGGCACATTTTGTAGGTATACTAAATAGCACATATTTTTATCCTTCAACTCTTCTGGATTGAAAGAGAAGTGTCATGTTGACTTCCCAGCTTCAGATGACATCAGTTTTAGGGCATACGACTTTCTTTCACAATTCATCATCCAAATAATTTCCTATTATCATTAGAACTAATTCTAAAGTTCTTTCAATATTCAAGCTCTACTCAAAACATCATTAGTGCAGTCAGTCAACAGGCACACACACAGCTTTAAATTCATTTTGTTTTTTAAAATTAATTCACCTATTTCAGATTACCAAATTAACCATATGACTTAACACTAACATTACATGTACATTAGAATACCTAAGAGTTGTAGCAACCTAATATCAAATGAAATTGATAGTCGTTTAAAACATTGCAGCTACCACAGCAAACCACTCTCATTGGGTTGGATCCAGATGATCTTTAAGGTCCCTTCCAACCCAAACCATTCTAGGACTACACAATTGCTCTTCCCAGTTGCTACAGACTCAATTAATTGGTCTGTACTATCTCTGACGAGCTCTGGTGCTTTTTAAGTAGTTTTGGAAATATGTTGTCTTCTAGTACTCATCAGTATACACTAGACAGTGAAGGGGCAGCAGAAAGGAAAAGAAGGTGGGTTTTGGTTTTGCTTTCCAAGATGCTGCTATGCCAGAGGTTTCACGTTCAGAATTTTCAAATACTCCTAGCCAAGAATGGTGCTTCTGTTTATTCAAGCATCTGCATTCATCTCAGTTGCTTTTGCAATCTAAGTTGAAAATGCTTTAATGAAACAGCTTCCAAAAATCTGTATTACATTTACATGCAAAGAACAATTCAGCTCAGTCAATTAATTGGTTCACACAGATCAAGGCAGGTCTATTTTTAAACCTGATTATAAAGTCATACGTTGCCATGCTTTTCTATAAAGAAAACATTGAGAAGAAAGCACATTCATCATCCACAAATGAATCAGTAGGCAAAAACCTATCTACATTCACAACACAACAAAGCAGAGAGCATGATATGGAACCAATTGTTTGTGATTAAGTAATTCCAGAATTGTTAAGCTTCACTCAATTTGCTAACATAATATACGGTCATAAAACAGAATTTAATACTGAAGTTACATGGTTCCACACAAGCCAGATGCTTGGACTGATCTCTACTATCCAATATCTACATGTTTCTCCAAGATTAAGTAACTTATGTATATGCCACAGTTTAACAAGTCTGCCTTAAGGAGACATGCCAAAATATTCTCCCCCAAAATATTCCTGTGTAATTTAACATAGGCTGTAAGTCTTTATGAAAAAATATAAGCAGACATTCAATGGAAAAGATATTCTGTGCTCTTAATTACAGTATTGTTAAACAAAAAATGAACTGTATATAAATAATATGACCAGAGATACTGAAAATAAAATGCATCAGCCCAAATAAAAAGCGAGGAAGATTCCACCAAAGTGGAGCTGATCATCAACAGATCAAGGTTTCAGCTTTCTGCAAAGAAAATACTTAAGAATGAATGGCTGCAATAAAATAACCCTTTCTTACTGGAAAAAATGACTTGCTATTTAAACATACCCCCCGTCAGGGCCTAAAAGATAGCAACATTCCTGATGTTATGTCAACATATTCGGAAATATTTTTCAAGTATGTGGCAACATTACAAAATCTTGACCACTGAAGTTTTTAAATGTATTGCAAAATATCTGCACAACAGGACTGAGTCATCTCAAAAACAATAGGGAAAAAAAAAACTAACAAACATTTTTTTCCAGAACCTGAATGATACTTATGTGAAGATGATATAAAGGTTTGGTAGAAGACTAATTCTTGACTCAAGATTAACAGTATACAATTTAAACCAGTACATAGGTTGCTCCAAAAGTAATCCCTCCTATTTACTGAAACAGATACGACAACAGATAAGAAGAATAGAGTAACACTTATTTGATAGAGCAAGTTCTCAGCTACAAAACACTATTTTTCAACACAGTCACCATTAGCTGCGCATTTCTGCAGTGATGAATAAGAGCCTGCATGCTGCACTCAGAAACGCATGCCAGCAGAAGTGACCCATCATTACTGTCGCTTCTACTGAAATACACCACTCACTACCTCACTGTGCTTATATCCACTGTCTGGTCTCCGTAAACATTTAACAAGTGTTGATTAATGCCAATAAATTTTCTTAGCATGGTGGAATTCTACACCTTTGGTCCATTTGTACTTCCATGCCATACGCCATTTTATCACACTGCACCTCTGCTGCCATCTGTTCCACAGCAACAAAATGTAATGGGATATTGGCAAGAAGGTTCAACCTCTACTGCCATACCACCAACATCTGCCTCTGACACCGTCAGTCAACGTCATAAAATAAGAGGCATTACTTTTGGAGCAGCCCTCATAGCACACAATGGAAATGATGTAATGAAGACTGTCATTTCCAAGCGTTGCATTATTAAATTAAGAGAAACATACCACTGTAATTGGGTAGAGAGGATTCTGGATTGACAACAGGAGAACTTTATTTCCACCAGATGGGTCGTCGGTGTTCCCCGGCCGAGTAATCCTTTTACTAGTCGAGTAGTTGAAGAAAGCTTGCTGCCCCGCAATGTACACAGGTTCATCTGCTGCAAATGTCACACACTTCTTGGCACTTTCTACTTTTTCAAACTCTACCAGAGCCTGACGTTTAAACGGCATCATCATGACATAACTGGGGAGAGAAATAATACAGTAAACTCTCCCATATGCTTAGTCTGAAATTCAGTAGCAGTCTTATATGATACGTTCTGCTTTTCTACACAAGTCCAAACAAGGACATACAAGGAAGCCAGGTCTTCCCTCTTGCACTTCCCAAGCCCGGTCACGTGTTTCTAAAGCACTCACATGAAGCAAAGAAATGCATTTGTTAGAAAAGTAAGTAATGAGCAGTTGAAAATGTCTTGAAAATGTATAATAGACAAGAACATTTAACCAACACAATAATTAGGTAATTGTTTACTAGGATTACAAATTCAAGTTTTAAAAAAGCTCATTAAGTTATTTATGACGTAAAGGATTAAAGTAAATGCAATTTACAGAAAACATTTAAATTTGTACACTAAACCAAGAAATTTAAAAGCTTATTCTTTTCCTGACACAAAACTACCTTGGAAGAAATAAACAAAAGCATTCTAGTTAACCAAACTTTTTTTTTCAGCAAATTTCTTTTTTGGAAAAGGTAACTTCTCAGGCTAAAATGTACTTACTTGTACACCTAAACAAGCTTTTGGCACCTCATTTTATTTATTTTAAGACATTAATGCAAGTGCTCTTCAGTTAGATGAATATTTAGAGAACGAAAAATACCACTGTACTATCTCCAAAACTCATTTTACTTCAATACTAGCATATCACTGAAAAGAAATGCATTTTTCTAAAATGAAGCACTCAGAATAAACTGGCTCTACCAATTTACCTCTACTATTCTGCTTACAGCTGCTTTGACACAGAAGAGGCTCCCTCTGAATAACCATCTCATGTCATAAGCACTTCTCCCATATAAAACCAGTGGAAAAAGGCTCATTCTGTTCTGAAGTTCAGTTTTGTTACAGTTCACACTTCAGGCTAAAACTAGCAGTCTGACAGCAGGTATTAGGGTACACAGAAAAGGTAACTGCTTAACCAGACTTCTTACGTGTACAAAAGGAGAATCTTCACACAGCTAGAAAGTTGTTTGCTCTGCTAGTAACTAAATCCAAGACTTGAAGTGGCTATCACAATGTATTTAAAGAGATCTGAGTGACTTTTAGATAATGCTTCCAACTTGTTGAGGGATGTGGCTTCACAATGTTTGACGTACCATATGGTTCCAAACTTTTCCAGAGCTTCCACAAGATCTGCTTCCACAACTGATTCACACAGCCCTCGGACATGGACAACAGGAGAAACAGAGACTTTGTGATGACTTCCCCCTGCATCCTAACAACAACAAAACAACATTTAGTATTCAGTACAGAACAAGGAACATCAATATTGTTAGCTAAACTTATTGGGCAGACACTACACTGGGTCCAGAAGCAGCCATTTAAATGTACAAAGTACATTTTAAACAATTCCACTTTTCTTTCCAAACAGACTGCAGAGTTCAACTGCTGAAGCCTACTTCAAATAATTTGCAGACTTTGTTAACACATTCACACAGGCAAGATTTTTCTAGTATAAAATGAAGTGTATTCTAAAAAATTTACTTGATTAAAGGAGGTCTTCCACCCTACTTGTTCCAAACAGAAAATATTTCAACACGCACAACACCTAAAATATTTTTTACATGCTTCCTGTTTGCTTATGACATCTGAGACAAGTCTTGTTTCCTGAAGAAGTAAAGCAAAAAAGCAGCGACAAACAAGGGCCATCAGTAAACTCAATCAAGACTGGTTACTTTCCTAACATGTGCAGAGCTGTGTCCTCCAGTGTAACCAAATGCTGGCTCAGTCCAATACTGGAAACAAACCAGCAATCCCTTGCAATTCCGAGTGCTCTTGATGTATATTTTTAAAAGATTCTATTTCAGTACAGGTGGTCACGCTCTTTCTTTTCACCCCAAGGCTGATTTTCATCAACTGGTTTCAGCCCTTGTACGCAGGCACACAGAATTGCCACAGTAAATGTTTCTCAGTGAGCTAGTAGAGCTGCAGTGAGTTCTGTGCAACTGAACCATTTAGACAGGCAGGGATCAGCTCCATCCTTCTGCGTGAAGCCTGAAGTAGGGCTGAAACGCACCTTGTTTATTTTAAGCCAAGAGAAAAAAAAAATTGATGAAATAGTATTAGTCAATAATGACAGAGATACACAAAGGAAGACTAGACATAATAAAGATGCATGAAATACACTGTACTTAGTAACATGCAGATTTAGTACAGGTAACAGCAATGTCAAGTTCTTGTTTACGAATTCACTACGTCAGTGTGTTCGTTTGATCTAACAAGTCTTGTTGAATTTTCACTTCTATGTAGTAAGAAGCACAGCACCTTCTGGAAGCCGAGGGACATTCTCATCTGCAGTACAAAGGAGCTTTCAGCTCTGCTGAGTGCATGCTACACACATTCTTCCTTTCCCTATCTTTATAAACTACAGAAGGAAAGGAAATAGCTTTTCCCAGGTAACTACAAATTGAGTCTCCTGTATCTAACTCCTGGGTTCCATACACAGCTCTCCTCATATTTTCTCCTTCCTTTGAGCACGTGAACCATAAAGCAGGCCATGGGATGTTGTCAGCGTTCAGAACAACCTGCTGCACTATTTTTTAAATCTTCATTTATGTCCGAGTCATTTGCACCATGAAAGCATTTTCACTTGCAACATACTTCTTTGAATAAGAACTGTGGCAGCTGTGAGTAAATGCAAGGAGTGGTAGTTATAAAGTAATCCTGAATTAACCACCCCAGCTCTGGTAGCAGTGATCAAATTATTAAGAAAGGTTAAAACTCTGAACTGCAGGTACTCAGAGAATCGCTGAAGGAACAAAGCTCCACACATACTTCTATTCTCAACTTCTCTCTTCTTTACCCATGCATAAATTTCAAAGCTGAAAGAAGCACCTGAAGAACCCTTCGGGAGAAAACAGTAATTACCATTTTTTTCTGCAAAGTCTAGTGCTCGAAGATGTTCAGACAGCAAGTAGCTTTACTTTATTTAGAAGTTGTTAAATCAATTATTCATTGCCCCACATACTTGTTACTGTATTAAGATCCCTGTTAACGCTATGAATATGCATTCCTTCTTTTTTTTTCCTTCTCCTTTTAACATTCAAGAAATTGTACCTAAGAATATTTCACTGCATATCAGATGGTAAATATAGGCAATGGTTTTCTCACTGAAACAAAGGCTCACTAGAAAGAGCTACCTTAGTGAATGAGCACCCCCAGACAAGCCAAGTTCTTCAGAGTATGCATCCTAATGGTATGTTATGTCTCTGTCCTCTTTCCAGTTCAATTCCTGCTCCAGTTCACATTTCTTGTCAAGCATTTTCCTTTGTATTTGCATTAAAGCTTGCCTAATCATGATACAAAGCTTTCTAACAGCATTACAAACATTTACTTTTACGCTTGCATTTCTGAATCCATTATACATCAGTTACATGCACATACAGGAGTGTCCACATTACTGCAACTGGAATGATTCTCAGAACCTTCAGCAAATGCAATCTCTGTTTCCTTTTATAGTTAAGATATTTAGCATTCTAAGCAAAATCTCCTTCACTCATAATGCTATATGGAAAGCATTATTTATTAGGATGAAGTACAGTAGGAGATTAAGCAAGAATAAATCATAACACTGCCGCTATTGTAGAAACTTAACACAAAAGCTTGAAAAGGATGAAGCTTTATTAAAAATAAAAAAAAAAATAGTAGTAAAATCTCAGTCACTTGCCATGAAGCTGAGGGCTTGTCCGCATAGCATTTCTGTGTAACTGCCTCATCACAGTGTTTAGACAAAGCCAGTGAAGGTACACAGGCCTAAAGCGGTGGGAGTCTGCTTTCCTCAGAATAGCCTCTGACCAGAAGCAGCAAACAGCGGTGCAGGAACGAAGCACAAGTCAGCCTGAAGCCAGGAAGTCACAAACTGACATTCACACAGCATATTGCTGAAAGACACCAACATGTGCTACTGGCATATGTTCGAGTGCAAAAAAGCATTCACGAGGGCAGACGTGCATATGATCATCAAACAAGTTTTGTAGCTACCAAGTTGCAAATCTAGAACAATCCTGGATTTCCCCTAAAAGGAAAAAATAAAGTCAGTAGTCTAAATGAGAACGCAAATACATCCGTCACTGTAAAGCACCTTCACAGCCAAAGTCAGAATTCATCCCACTGCTTGCCACCTTCCCTTTCCACAAACAAGAAACACAGCACTTTGACTAAGGTCTCGCAGTCGCCCTATCCTGAGAAGTCTATATATGCTACAGCTGGCACAGAGAGTGGTTACGGAGCATGTAACACAGATGAGCCAACACCAGTGCTCCCCTGCTTACTTCTTCCAATGGCACAGGAACCCCATGCCTAACCCCTGCACGATGCCCTCCAACAGAGCCAGGAAACACACCAGCTCGTGTTACTGCTGTGCCTGCTAAATATATATTGCCCAGGATGTCTTCTCAAAGCTCAGTAATGGTTTCTTAAAGAATCATTAGCTGGGCAGAAAAAGTAGTACTTAAATAGGTAATGGAAACAGACTTCTTCTAAGTGCTCAAGACCAGTAACAAGAACAGAAAAGGATTCCTGGAAAAAAAAAGACTGCCAACATTACAGGTAACGTTGAAACTGTGTTTCCAGAGAGAGAAGGAAGCCCTAGAATAACTGCATCATGCCTCATGTGCTTGGTTATTTCATATACACGTGACTGTAATGGAAGCTCTGAAGAACAACTGCAGCATTTTAATATATCTTTTCTTTACTGACCTACATATTCCTAGGCAACATTTCAAATATATCACTGGCGTCTTGCTAATAAATTTTGATTCTGTTATTCCAGAAAGGAAGAAAGTCAGGAAGGGTTCTAGCTGTATGAAGCCTCTTCTGTTCACTAATTCTAGATCAGAGAACTTTGCACTGTTTGCACAGACACCTGTTCTGCATCCTTTCTCCAGACACCTTTCCAGTCAATATATTCACCAGAGCTCATATTACCTTTTTTTGGACCATCTGCTTCTTTACTATTCCTCTGCTTCCATCTCTCTTTCTCTTTACTGCAGAAGGATGCTATTCTCCTTCACATTTTCTCCCCTAGATACCTATACACCTTGCTATTTCATTTCTCATCATTCAGAACATCACACGCACTTACAACTTCTTCCTCACTGCATCCTTCTCACATGCTCTGAAATAGTTGTTATATTTAAAACTGCAATTGGAAGAGCCCCAAAAGGTTGCTTATTCTGTATGCAAGTGCCTAAAACATTGTCAGTGCCTAACTACGAATGCAGCTGCACAGTTACCATGCCGTAAAGGGAAAGTGAAGGCACACAACACATTCCCCAGTAATTTCAGCTCTGCCCATTGGAGGTGGCGTGACAGAGAAAAGGCTTTCTGAAGTATATGCAGCATTTCCTGCACGGTCTTCAACAACAACTCTATGATTCTTTATTTTCCCCTGTGCTCAGGGCAATCCAAATACATCTCTTAAAACCTAAAACAAAACAAATACGGAGCATTATGAGGAGACAATTATGAGGAACAAATACCTGAGGTGCTGGAAGAGGAACTAGCTTTAGTCGCCTTTGTGATGGAGAGCAAAGGAAGAAGGACGATTTACACTCAGATTGCTCCATAATAGACTTCTAGGCTCTGAACTCATCTCCATCTAGCCACTGCTACTGCCTGTGACAGACATGAAGCAGTTTACTCCTGAGGTGCGTTGCTGCCCACTTACACTGCAAAGCAAGAACATTGCACACCCGAACTTATAGCAGAGCAGCTCAGACGCTGCATGTTCACACTCCTAGCTAACCTTTCAGGAACCTGGTTTTATGTTTGTGTATTTTGACACCACATCCCACTTCCCCAAACATAACAATCATCCTTACCTATTCTTCAATATTTCTATAAAGCATGTAAGAGACAGCGAGGCAAATGAATGCTACCAGAAAAAAAAAAAAAAAAGTTAAATACAACACTAACCAATGGAAGAAATTTACATGAGGGAGAGAGCTGAGAGGCCCTCCAACCACCCTCCAACACAGCTCTTAATTCCCACCCCGCTTTCTCCCTGTGTCCTGACTCTGCTATAACCCAGTTCTGACTCCTCTGCCCAGGTCTCCCCACCACACAGCACAACCTCTGTAAATGTCATCCTTCCAGATCTCACTCTCCTCCATAGAATGCTGCTGTAAGACCACCTCTATTCCTCTCCCTGTCAACTCTCCAGTCACAGCTCTCCATGCTCCTCAGCACTCAGATGAGACAATAGGAAGGAGCACACCCCCCTGACTCTGTGCAGTATCATTACTGGTGGGGAACAGAGGCAAAGGAAGAACAAAAATATATATATATTCTTACCCATCTGTAACCTGCGTATCAGGAAAGACTTCTAGGCACCCATTTGCAGAAACACAGAACTTAGAGGCAGTAAGGGACTACGCAACTCACAAGGCAATCCCAGAGGAAAGAAAACATCACAACAATAACAATAAACAGCCCAGCAGGGAGAGATCATGCCAAGGGGATAACTAAAAGGTCCCACTATGAAACAGGTTTTATCTCACAACCTGTATGTAACTGATGACAATTCACCATTATTTTAGGACACTGTAAGAGAGGAAAAGCATGAGGCTAACAGACTCCAACCACTCTCCCTACTCCAGTTATCCATTTTCCCATTTCTCCCTCTTAATTCCCCATTCCGTATTGATCTTTGTCCTTCACTTTACATATTCTTTTTCTGCTTCTTTCTGAGCAATCCAGCATACCTGCACTTACTCCCTCAGCCTACTCCTATCTTGTACATCTTCACCTTGAACCGAAACTAACTTTTATGTGCTAGGAACGTTTATCCAGGAACAAAATGAAGGTGGTATGTCTGAGGGGAAAAAAATAATCCATTTCCTGCACATTTTCTTTTTTTAAAACCAATTAAAGAAAAAAAAACCCTAACGTTCACATGAACTAACTTTAACGAATGGATACTGGCATTTTGCTCTTACAAACTCCAGACAAAAGCACTCAGTTGTTCATTTTTCACATATTCTCTTGATGTTACAGTTTGCTCTTAAGAACCTAGTACGATCTCTATTACCCAGAAAACTGCTGCCTCCCCCTGCTCCTTCCTATTGTCTCATCTGAGCACTGAGGAGCATGGAGAGCTGTGACTGGAGAGTTGACAGGGTGAGGAATAGAGGTGGTCTTACAGCAGCATTCTATGGGGGAGAGTGAGATCTGGAAGGACGACATTTACAGAGGCTGTACCCCAGTACTGCCTCCCCAGATAGCTCATCAGTACAGCTTTGCCAACAAACCATCACAGTGCATTAGGAGAGTCAAGAGTCTGTGACCACGCACCCTCTTGAGGCACACTGCAACTGATACGACACGCTACCTAAAATCCTTCTCTTCTAGACCTCCTACACACTTGTTTCAGTCTCTTTGCTGACGAAACACAGCCAAAATCCAAAATGTTAGGTTACAGACATACTTTATCCTCTTGTTACCTAGCAGGGCTGTATGCCTTGTGCATTAACTAGCATAAAAACTGAGATACTAAAGTTAAAAAAAAAAAAAAAAAAAAAGACAATCAACGCCAAAATGAAGGAAAGTTAAAAATAACAAACTGGCAACTTAGAAAGGTAAGAGGAGTATCTTGTCCCTGTTTGAAACGCGGTGTGTGATGCCCAACTCTCCTATATGAGGAAATGTCAAGATAACTTATGCAAACATAAGGATTTAATTCAGATGCATCCTCTAAGAATGCATTACTAAGGCCATAGATGATGCTTTGTGACAAGGTATAACACTTAAAACAGTTATCCCAAAAGGTGCAACTTTACTGCAGTTCACCAGGAAACTTTTCTACGCATTCAGCAGGTGATTGCAGTCCAGAAAGAGGTTCAGCTGATGGAAAGATGGTAACAGCAAAGGCGCTAATTCATCTGTTACTAATTCATCCCGTTGTTAAGCAGCGTAGTTCAGCCAAATCATAACACAGAACTACTCTAAATGTCATGGAATCAAGCTCTCGTTGATCTTGCTTTTCAGGGAGGAAACAAAGTGCCATCGAGAACTGAATAAACGGTTCAAATCATCCGGGCAATTCGGCGGAGTAAGAAATCAAAGGCTAGACGCAGAAGTGCCGTTAGCCCAGATCGATGGGTCTCGCTTACTGCTTTGATTGATACAAATACACAAAGAGCGCAGCAAAGCAAGCACACCGAACTAAGGCGTCCGTCAGCCCGGCTCACAGCGGGGGAAAGCGACGGAAGGAACGGGGGAACTTAAGGGAGCGGCAGGCACTCGCCATCAGCCTCACAGCCCGGCGCAGCCAGACAATAAGGTCAAACGGACGGACGAAAGGAACCCTCCGCCCGCTTTCTTCCCCCGCCGCACGTTTCTATAGTTACACTCAGCAACAGGGCGAGCGCAAAACTCGTCCCGGCGACATCCGAAAAGGCACCGAGCAGCCCACGGAGCGGCGGCGAGCTCCGCGCTTCACCACAACCCGCCTCGCAGCCCGGGCTCAGCAGCACGGCCCCGAGCCGGCGGCCCACCGCCTCGGAGCGGGGCAAAGCGGCGCACCCCCCGCCCCGGAAGCGCCTCCGTGCCCAGGGGAAAGGGCCGGCTGGCTACGGCCTCCGGCAGGCCGCGGGTGGGCACGAAGGGAAGCCGCCCAGAAGGCCGCCCCGCGCCCGGAGGCCCCGCTCTGCGGCCCGGAGCCTCGCCACGAGGAGGGGGCTCCGCCGCCCGCCCCCGCCCCGCACCCCGCCGCCTTGCGGAGGGAAGGAGCCCTCACCCCGCCCGAAAAGCCGCCTCCGCGCTGCGGGGGAACCTTGTCCCGCCGGCTCTCGCTCTCCTCGGCGCCGCTGTACTCGATCTCGCCTTCCTCGGCGGCCGCGCTGGGCTTCAGCCGCTTGGCCTGGCTCTCGTAGGCGCCGTCCTCCTCCTCCTCTTCTTCATACCGATCCCCGGACGACGGAGACGACATCGCCGGGAGGAGGGTGGGAGCGGGCCGGCTCCTGGCGGAGGGCGCACACGCGACAGGGAGGAGGAGCGGGTACGGAGCCCGGCGGCAGCGAGCGCCAAAGATGCTCTGCGCTCCGTCCCCCCGCACGCCCCCTCCCCGCCCCGGGAACGGGTCGTGCCTCCCCGCCGCTCAGCGGCTCCGCGATTGGCTCCGAGCCGGGGAGGGAGCGAGGACTCCTCGGCTATTGGCTAGCGAGCGCGCCCATCGGCCGCCGTTCGCGCTGCGATTGGAGGGCGGGCGTGCCCGTCACCTCACGGCGAGGCTCCTCGGTGCCGCCCCCCGCTGCTCCTCTCCATCGCTCTTTGATGTCTGAGAGCCCGGGAATAAGGGAGGGCGGGGGGAGCGCGAGGCGCCGGGTGGCGCAATAGTCGCGGGGGCGCGCGCCGCGCTCACGGCCCCTCCGCGCGCTCTCCTCGCGCGGCCGCCTCTTCCCGCCCTCGCCCGCCTTTGTCTCCCTCGCGGGCGGTGAAGGAGCGGTTCCCCTTACGATCCCGCGTCTCCTACCGCGGCTTTTCTGGGGACGGCATCCCGCCAGTTGCAAGGTCACTGGGAGCGCTGGCTGCTCCCTGCTCAGCAAATGGTCTGCGCCCAGCACCGAGCCCCTGCCCGTAGAAAGAGAGAGAGCTCGCGTGCCTCTCCGTGCGGGCTGGCGTGGCCCCTCGTTCCTCAGGTGAGGAGTAACACCAAGCGTTCCCCTACGAGCTCACAACGCACGGATTGCTGCCCCGTGCCGGTCCGTGAGGTCTCCGTTCCTTGCACTACCCCTATAACAGGAGCGACGTATTGCCGCGCTGCCTGTGGCCTCGTGCAGTGACACAAAGCGGCCACAGCTTCTGCTCGGGGTTATTTCTCGTGGAGGCGTTGCGAAGGTGTGTCTCACAGCCCACACCTGTCTACGGGTCTGTTTTCCTCACGGAGGGAGAAGGCTTTGGCAGCTGAAGTGGCTCACGGTGCTTTGTGGCAGTGGCAGATGATGCTGCTGGGGCTGCGAAGCCCAGGTGAACGCAGAGTGGAGCCCTGCAGGAAGCACGTCAATGGAGAAAGGGCGTGGGGCTGAGGTGGTTGTTTTCTAGCTTGTAAGCTAGAAAAGAAAGAAAATGGTTTGCTGTTTAAACATTCTGCTACCCTGGAAGTTACTGGTAAAGGCACTCCAAGAAGCGAGAGGCCCAGGTTTGGTTTCTCTTTCTGCCCGACCTGACTCGAATCTGCATCCCTCAGGCATCATAGAATCACAGAATGGTTTGTGTTGGAAGGGACCTTTAAGACCACCTCGTTCCAACCCCCTGCTATAGGCAGGGACGCCTCCCTCTGACCAGGCTGCTCACAGCCCCATCCAGCCTGGCCTTGAATGCCTGCAGGAGGGGCATCCACAGCCTCTGGGCATCCAGTGCCGGTGTCTCACCACTCTAGCAAGAAAGAATGTCTTCCTTACATCTAGTCTAAATCTACCCTCTTCCAGTTTAAAGCCGTTTCCCCTCGTCCTGTCATTTAAGTCATCTACAAACACACATTTGATTTAACTTTGCCTGCAATGTGTCCCACCTTCTCGTTTTTTTTCTCTTTGTTTCTTAACTTGTGCTTTTATTTCAGTATTTGTTGTACCTAGTTTTAATTTCTAGTAAAATATTCATTACGACTTCAAGGGTATACAGCCCAAAGGGTTGAAGATGTATAGACATCTTTTCAGACTTCAAGCAGACAATGAGGAACATCATGTCTGTGATGACATTAAACTTACTTTTCTTGGCACTTGTTTTATTTCTAAGTACTCAACATATGTTACCCTACTGATGTTTCTACTTTGGACCCAAGAGTTTACTTGCCATATGAAGCAAATTAATTTTGTGTGCTTAAATCTGTGGATTTAAGCAGACGTTTGCACCACACCATTGCAAAAAATAACAGCCCAAGAAATCACAGAACATACCAGACTTACGATCAGAAAATGGCATTGAAAGGCTGTGATAATTTCTGTACTAATTAAATTTGCTTTTCCCCGGTGTATTCATAATTATTTGTCTGAAAATGAAGAAGTGGCTTACTGTTGGACAAAATCTATATTTACTGAGTGTTCAGAGAGAAGTTTCAGCATGTTTCCATGCAGTACATAGATTCTGCTTCACTGACTTAATGTCATATTTAATTATTCCATGATGGAGATGTTATATTAAGATATTTTTCATGTTTCAGTTGCAACATTGAAGCATCTGCACTAAGCTACTGTGAGCAGAGTTGGTTCAGTCGCTCCCCCCATGCTGCAAGTATACAAAAGACAGGAGGAAATATGGAAATGCATCCCCGTTATGTAAGTTTGTAAGTATCTGACTCAGCAGTCTGATTTTGCTGCTATTTTTCTATCAGATCTCCTTTTGTACAAAAGAGAGATAGAGGAAAGCTGCCAATACTGTCTGAAATGGTTTTGTTTTGTTTCATACAATTTTTATTACGCAGAGCTGATAAACAGAAGTCATGGTTTCAGGCCACTACCCTCAACTAAGAAAAGCAATTAGTGTTATTTACTTATACCACATAGCCAAGTGCAACCACATAATTATATAAAGGCCAAAGCAATGACATGAAGAAAAATCCTCAAGCCCTGTAGGAATGTAAAGCACCTAATTATGAACATAGTTTGGAAGCACATGTTTTTACCAGTACAATTTTCTCTCCTCTCCTCTGCTGCTTGTATTTCTTACATCCTGTGCTGTAATTTGCATTGCATTAAGCTATTAGCTCATCATAGTGAGCAACGTTTCTTACTGTACTAATATATTACACATCCATTACTAAGATTACTGTATTTAGGTGCCATGGAAATGCAAGTAACAGCCAGAAGAAAAATGGGAAAAGGTTTTTGTTTGCTTGATCGTAAGTGAAAAACAGTTAACATTCATTGATTCAATAATGTCATTTGTAGGGGAATGTTAACAAACTGGTGATTCCTGAAAATGGTCTGGATATGGCTTTCAAATGTAAGCTGAAGTGAGTGCTTAAGCCATCACACAATACAGGGCTGAGGATTTAGGGGTGACATGACACTCAGACATGATCTATGCTTTTCGATTGAGTCAAGAAGAGGTGACAGAAAAATGGGTCAGACCACAGGTAAGCCAGTATCCTGTCCTGAAGAGCTGCCAGCAGCGGGTGTGCATGGCAAAATGGAAAAAAAAATGGATGTATGGAGTCAGTGCTCTCAGGTACACTTTTTTTTTCAGCAGTTACAAGTTTAAGGAACTTATGAGTCAGAAGCCACTTCCATATCTTTCTGTTTAATAAATAGCCTTGAGCATGTTTGTTTTTTTTTTTCTACTTCTTTTGGTCCCATTTATATTTTTGCCTCCATTAAGTGTCTCCTCCAGGGATCATATCTCTGATTTACAAGAGATGCTGGTGACTATCATCCATAGAAGCACCCAGTGGTGCTGAGGGAGACTCTGCTGAAGGATCCATTCTGCAGTTTTTCTCAGTCAAAACTCAGCTGCTCTGATGAAGTAAAGCCTGAAGGATGATCGGGTCTTGACTTGCAGGGGTGGATGGCAGCTCCTGGAAAGATCTGCACTGCTAGACTTGCTTTCAAGGCTTAAAGTCTCGTTTCCAATGACGCTCTTTAGTGTAGCTTTCACATATTGACCATTTCAACTCATACCCTTTGCCAACAGCCTCAGAGCCCACTGAAGGTTGGTAGACTCACTCAATTATGTGTTCAAGATAAGCATGTAGCACGCAGGTTGAGTGTGAATTCTGGCACATAGCAGTGCAGAGGACAGTTACATCAGTGTTCATTATCTGCAGCTGTGTCATGGATGTGCAGGGGTTTTGTTCCCTTTCTTGGTTTTAGTCTCGACAGTCCAAGAAATTGGTGCTCTGCCTACTCCCCACACTGGAAGTTACCACTGCCTCAGCTGCAGAGGGATGGGGAAAACACCGCAGTGCCTGGACAAACAACCAGAACGTTTATCTTTGTTTTTATTTTTGCGTCATTTTATCTAGATTTATCCATGCTATCTCTAGGCTGTAGAGCATCTGCAATCCTCTCTCTTTTCAATGCACTGGCAGGTTGTAGATGACTAATTTGGGGCATTCATTGCAAGAATTTTGAACAAAAACCTGAAGCACTAATCATGCAGTACACTGGTTACCATCAAGAGAAACTGCTGCTCAGCGTGTTTGTTGCTGGCTTGAACACCAACATGGATGTGCACTTGGGTCAATAAGCAGCTGTGGTACAGGTCAGATCCAGCAGCCAGTAATGACTTGCCTTGCATAGCAGAGTCTACAAGCCTTTTAATGTTACCAGCATTTTCAAAACAATCACAAATATTATATTTATTGTTTCTTAAAGTATCAGATTGGAGTCTGATGGTTAAAGAAGTTTACTCATGTTTTGGAAAAACAAAATTCTTTTGTAACTTAAAAATGTAATTGCAATTAAAAATGTAAAACCGAAATGCTCCAGTACAAAGATCTACTACAAGTAGATCTCCTGTTGCCTTTTTGATGGCCTGATGTAAAATTTTCACGTTTCACTTTGTTGCTGTGGCTTTTCTATATATATACATGCACACACATACACTATTTAGAAGTGCAGCTGCTGCTTGCTTTCTCCCCAGACTGGTGCAGCCACTTAAACCAGTTACTCGTGGTACATCATTCACTGTTTTCTCCATGTTATCTGATACCTGTGCTAACAATCTCGGAACTGATATTCAGATCTGAGTACAAAATAAAATTGCATTATCTGTGGTGTCAAGCCCCAGCCATTTCAAACAGTCCCTTGAAAAACAGTAAGAGCGACCTTACTGGTTGGCCACCTGGCCAAAAGCTGTCTTCCTCCCTCCACAAGAGGTCCCAACACCTGTTCACCTTTCATGGCAGCAACACACTTCCCAGTGGTAGTGAAAAATACTGAGAAGAAAACAAGTCAGTCTTGCACCAGTGGAAGAGTTGAGGAGAGCACTGCAGGGATTGCTGGGGCTCTTGTGCAAGTAGGAGGAGGGCAAAGACAGGGCTCTTGCTTGTAGCCTGTCCAATGCACCAAGGCA